GACAGACACAGGCATGGCCACAGGTGCCAGGTACATGTCCGGCCAGCTCTCTGTCCATCCTGGCTGGGGCAGCCTCCACTTGCAGCAAGCGGTGTGTGAGGGAGCCCCCTCCCCTGTTCTGAGCTGTGCAAAGTTCCTCATAAACCAAACTCCTATGGGATTGAAGGGCAATGCCGACCAGGACCGCACAGGCAGAGCCTGGCTGGTTGCAGTGGGGATCCACCACACCCTCACAAAGCCGGGATCTCCTGCATGGTCTTGGATATGGACATGAACTTGTGCCCTATATATCCCTATGAAGTGCGCCCCCCAGTGGGACTGCTCAGTGGAGGGAGGAGCTGGGAAAGGCCATGTAGGGGTGAAAACTCTCTGTTCCCCCAATGGGACAGTCAGTCAGGGCTCACCTCCTGCCCCATGCGCTCCACCTCCCTCAGGTGGTGAACCAGATGTTGGAACGTACCAGCAGTGGCGGCTTTGGAGGCAACGATGGTTTTCTCTACCTGACTCTACCCGCCCTGCCCCTGGGGGGCGTTGGTGAGTTCCTGGCCCCCTCCACAATCCAGCCCCAGCCCCAGAAAGTCCTTTGCTATTCCATCTGAATGTAGGCCCTGGGCCTCATATGGCCTCAGTTTCCCTGTCTGTAAAATGGTTATTTGATTGCCTTGTCTTTCTCTGTTCTCTTGCAAGCTTTGGGCTTCTGGCCCGGGCAGGTGGCTGCTACCCAGGCTGCCAAGCAGGGCTACACAGGTGCTGTCCTCACGCGCTCACTCTCTGTGTCCTTGCAGGTAACAGCGGGATGGGCAGGTACCACGGCAAGTTCTCCTTCGACACCTTCTCCCACCAGCGTGCCTGTCTGCTGCGCAGCCCGGGGATGGAAAAGCTTAATGACCTCCGATACCCTCCTTATGGCCCCTGGAACCAGCAGCTGATAAGCTGGGCCATGGGCTCCCAGAGCTGCACCCTCCTATGAGCACCACCCTGACTCCCCCCTGCTGCCCAGCCCCCGACCTACCTGAGCTTTCAGCTGCTCCCACATCCCCAGTGGTTCCCGAAAGGCAGGTGTCTGCCTGTGAACACCCCGCTTCTGGAACTTTTTCTGAACAGACCTGCAGCCAAGCAGGACCTCCAGGTGGCTGGTCCAATCCCCTCCCAGAGCACAGCCCCCCTCAGCAGCCTCCTGACCCTCTGTTTAGACAGGTCTGCTGACAGAGGAGCCCCCTCCCCAAGGCTGGGCAGATCTGGTGACTGAGGAGGACTTCCTTTATCAGATCATAGACAGGGTCCCAAAAGACAGAGCAGTGGCTCATGGCTCCATCCACACCTGCAGGGTGGCTTTGTCCCATCTGAAGTGACATGATCTTGAACCCAGGTCAGATTAATTGGTGAATCTGTCTGAAGTGTGTTCATTAGTTACTTTTCTGTTACTTCTATCAAAAGACAAGTTCAAGGGGGAAGATTCTCATGTAGTTCATGGCTTCAGGAGGTTCTATCACCATGACTCAGCAGACATGACAGAATACAGTTCAGCTCATGGGATGGCAGGCCAGGAAGCATCATGAATAAGAAGGAAAGCATGGTTGATTAGTCATGTCTGCTCTGGCCCAGGGAGGGCTGTGTGTATGTGTTGGCTACATCTCTACTCCTAGAAAGAGGTAGTGAGAGGTAGAATATGAAATTGGAGACTTGGGGCTAAAGAGATAGCTCTGTGGTTAAGAGTACTGACTGTTCTTCCAGAGGACTGGGATCAGACCCCAGAGCCCACATCACAGCTCACAACCATCTGTAACTCCAGTTTAAGAGGATCCAACACCCTCTTCTGGCCTTAGCAGGTACCAGGCACACATACGATGCCCAGACATACTCACAGGCAAAACACTCATACATGGAAAATACAATTTAAAAATAGAGGCTTGGAACCAGGTGTGGTGGTGCAGGACTTTAATCCCAGCACTTGGGAGGCAGAGACAGGCCTTTGTAATCTTTATGCTCTTTGTAATTTTAGCCTGGGCTACATAGTGAGTTCCAGGACAGTCAGGGGCATGTAGAGACCCTATCTCAAAAAACAAACAAAAAGCTGGAGACTTCATCTGAACATGGGAAACTGAGGTCTTGAGTCAAGGCAGGGTTGTACTGAGTTCACAGAGGAAAGCAGGGCTCGAGCTGAGAGACAGTGGGCTTTGTTGAGGATCACGGGGCTGGAGGCTGGGTAGACAGCATGCCTGGCCCTGGAATTGGTTCCTTGTTCTTCCCCAATCCCCCATCCCTACCCCTGACTCCAGAGCCACTTTCAATCCCCAGCCTTGGCTTGCTGGGCTCCTCATCCTTAGAGTCACAGGAAATCTGAGCCAGTGGCCTGAGGTTGAGAAATTAAAAGAAGTATGGTCTTAGACATTTTGGGTGATGGCATCTCCAGAATGGTACATGGGGACACCGCAGAGGCACCTAACAGGGACTTATGGATGGATGAAGGACAGAACGAATACATGAGAGAGGAACAGATGGGTGTGTGGATGGTGGCTGGCTGGGAGGCGGTTGGATGGAGGGATGATGGGTTACTGAGCAGGTAGCCGGGTGAGTGGCAGGCTTGGGAGCTGCCCTGGGGCTCCAGTGGGTCGTGATAGGTGAAATCTAGCCATAGGTGCTGGGCCCACAGTGTCATTAGCTTCAACCTAGAGTGGCCATAAGAAAATCGGCACTATCATCCTTCCTGGTCCAAACCCAGGACAGCAGGTTAGCAGGAAACCAGCAGGGCAGCGCTGGAGTGAGAGCTGAAGGGAGGGGTCACAGTGAAAGCAGCGGGGAGGTGGAGAGAG